CCACATCAATATTCTAGACTCATATGTATCACTTGATCAAGTTTGGACCATAATTCCTCAAGAAATTTGATCAAATCATCAAAAGGGCAAAATGGTCAAAATTAGGGTTTTTGACTGAGAAAGGGCAATCTCTGATTTTTGACCTAGCAAATGACCAATTGATTTGAAGCATGATTTCAAGGGTTCAATTGTATCATCTTGACCTAATAAAATGGTTCAAAACATTGCAATTTCATTGGATTGACAGATGAAATTTGCAGTCAATTGATCAAAAGTCAACTGTATACTGAAAAGTCAAACTTTGACTTTTTGGTCAAATTCAAGTGCCAAGGATCACAATTCATCAGAACATGTCAAAATATGAAACTTGTTCATCAAGGAATCAAAGATTGAAGATTTGGTTTTGAAATTTGAATTTTCTTAACTTAGAAATTTTTCTAAGTATAGAAATTTTTTTATTTTTCTCAACTTTAAGCCAATTTTCCACCATGATACAAGATGATTCAAAGAAAGTTCCCAACATGAAAGTTGTACACCTCCATGAAATCTACAACTTTACTTCACACATTTTTCCCTAAAGATGCTTGGATCTCAAGATATAATTTTGTGAATATATGCCCATGAACTAAAATAACTTAGTGAAATTTTGCCCTAATTTAGGCAGGTTTTTGACCTAACTTCATGGAAATTTTTCACCTAGTTCCAAGAGGAATCTTGAAATTAATTTCAAATATGAGTTATATAGCACATTGCAATCTTTCCAAAATGTCCAAGAACTCCTTGATATCATTTTTGAGTAGGGAGAATCAAAGAGAGGAAGTTGGCAATTTCTCACTTTGATTTCAAACCATTTCATGAAGAACAAAATTCAAATCTGAACCTATGCTGCCTAATCCTTGCTTTACAGGTCTCAAACTTGTTTCTCACTTCATAATTTAATGCTTAATCAGTTGATAAAGCCTTAATTCAAGCACAAGAGTCTTTGTCCAAGCTTTAATTCCATAAATGGCACAAAGTTGCCATTGCCATTTTGGAAAAGCATAACTTTTGCAAATTTTCATTTCTTGAGCATTGGACCCGTTTTCTCTGCACACACAAGTCCTATAAACCAAAAGTAAGTTGTCTAGAACTTGTACCAACTCCAAGCAGACATGTACAAGCATGTAGAGACTTGTCTCCTCACTTTGCTTCAAAAGCAAGTAAGAGTGCAAAAAGGCTAGAACTCAAAAATGTGTTGTAGAGCTGACTTGAAACCTTATCTATACTTATACACAAACAATTTGCAACCTAACACACGATTGCTTAAGGCCAGAAACACTCCAAAACTCCCTATCACCAAAAATCTGTCAAAACTTGCAGTTTGTGGCCAAGCATAGCAATCCACAAATTGACTCATGTGTTTCAGGTTTTAATCACTCAAACACTTTACCTACCTCATATCCAAGTGTTCCAGACCATCATCCATGTACTGTAACTCCCCCTTCTCCATCAGCCATTTTTGTTTTTCAAGCTTGCAGGTTGACTTGGATAGAGAGATTCCGGCACTTTCAAAGCAAGGCAAGGATTGGAACACACTCAGAGAGGTTCAAGCAAGCTAAAGGAATCTTCAGGCCTTCATAAATCTCACTCAAACTCCATTCACGATCTCAGCTGAAAGAGGTAAGAACTCCAACTTTTATCTCTTCATACAGGCATCCATTGGCCACGATTTGTGAAAGGAAAATGTAGATATTATTGTGCTAAAGCCAACCATGTGCATAGATTTCATTTCTGTTCATTATGTATAGAGAATTTTAGAGTTCAAATTTCTGTAAAAATTAGGTTTGAAATTAGGGCCTTTAAAATTCGTTTTGATCTTTGATTGTTAGTTTCCATAAGTTACATGTCTGAAATCGTGGGAAAGAGTACTATCATGTTCATGTTGGAAGTTTCCATTTTCATGGAGAAATGAGAAAGATACAGAGGTTCTGGCCAGCTTGAGGAAGAAGATGAAGTACAGGGCAAGAAGGCTTTATATGTTATGTTTTTCTTGTTTCATTTAAACTAACGGATGTACAGTCACCCCAGTGGTAAGGCAGCGCGCTGAGAATGCCAAGGTCATGGGTTCGAGCCTTGGTGCTTGCCTTTTTGCATTTTCCACACTTTTGTTCATTTTTTTTATTTCTGGCAGCGCTGGACCTCTCATTCTTGGGCCTTTTTGTTTTTTCTAACATACTACCCCCTGTTTGCTTGCAGCACCCCTGGCCCATATATTTTTATTATTCATTTTATTTTCATTTCTATTTTATTAAATATATTTTTCTTAATATTAAAAATTATAAAAAATATAAAAATGCTAAATTTATATTTTGGTCCATTTTATTTTATTTTTTCTCATAGAAAATATTTTATTTTAGTTACATATCATATATATACTTTTTTAATAAATTTGTAAATAAAAAAATAGAATTAGGTTAATTATTTATTCTTTTTCTCACACTTGTAAATATTTATTTTGACATACAAAAAGACTAAATATTTTCATAAAATATTATTTATTATTTTAAGACAAAAATATACAAAAATAATACTTAAAGAGCTTTATTATTATTTTTTACATTAGAAATTAGGGTTAACCATTTTTCATGAATTAATTTCCTTTTCTTAAGATATTAGGATTAGGTCAACATTCTTTTGCATATGAAAAATAAAACAATTTCTTTTCCTTGCATATACATAACATTGCATATTTAAATTATATTGTATATTGTTCATTCAAATATTTGTACAAATTCGATTTGGTTGTAATAGTTTAAATTAGGTTTACATTATTACAAATCTCCATTCACAATTTATATACCCCCTCCCATACAATATTGTAATAGCGTAGTAATCTTTAAAATTATGCAATTTATCGCTTTTATATACCATGCTAGTAATTAGGGTTTGATTGGCAAGATAAAAACAAATCAAATAGAAAACCTTAATCCAAGACAAAATCAAGCATGAAAATAACACACTTGCACACAAGCACCCTTAGGGTTACTCCACTTGGTTGCCTTATACAAAAATAGCCATATTACGCATGCGAAGTATCTTGGCAAAACAAACAAATATAAGATCATAGTCCCTCGATGACGCTATTCTAAATTGCCTTACAAAAATGATCTTGGTCCCTCAAAAATGCTAAGATACTTTGCAATATTGCTAATCATGGTTATACGATGACCCACGCCCGTCCCGTTTACATCCAAAGATAGGGTTGCTTACTAAATTAATGGTAAGACAACAATGTCAAAGGAAGAAAAATAAACAAGAAGGACCTTTGAGTAGATAGATTACTTCTACTTACTTGCTTTATTTTCAAACAACTATCCTTGCTATTCTTCAAAACAAAACACACACATTTCCAAAACATTTTACAAACATTGAAAACATTTTCAAAAAGACAAACATCTTTGTATACATTCTTACGAACGAGAATCATTACAAAGATTGCCTAAACAATGGCCTCTTTTACAAAATAATTTCAAAAAACCACACAAAGCACAATTTCAAAACAAAAAGCAAGTGATCTAGCAAGTAACTAAGAGCCCATGGAAAACCATGGATGAAAAGGGTGCTAATACCTTCCCTTTTCATAATCTACCCCTCGAACTCAAGAAAACATCTCTAAAGGTTTTTCCTGTGCTTTTTCACCTTTTCTTATTGGATAAAAGAAAAGTCGGTGGCGACTCTTGCTAACCGCGACATTTGTGATAAAACGCAAAACACCCTCAAGTCAGTTCTCCCACCGTATCACAAACATTAATTGAGTTTATATTATTATTGTTCATTTTACAATTAAGTAACTCATTTCAAATTTACATGTGTATCTAAATATATTTTATACCGTATCAAATTAGATAATATTCAATAATAATGCAAACAACTAACTTTCTATCTCACGAGTCACTATTAGTACAATATTTAAATATATTTTATACTTCATCAAATTGAATAATATTCAATAATAGCAGTATAGACAACTAACTTTCCATATCACGAGTCATTATGAAGACAATATATATATATATATATATATATATATATATATATATATATATATATATATATATATATATATATATATATATATATATATATATATATATATATATATATATATATATATATATATATATATATATATATATATATATATATATATATATATATATATATATATATATATATATTATTTTAATTAACAAATTTCTTTATTTGAGAGATATAATATTTAATTTTAAATGTTAAAATTTTCTTTTTTTTTTCTTTTTCCATCTCACTAGTTTCTTTTTGATTTTTATACGGTTATTTAATACAACTGAATTTATGATATTGTTTATTTTACCATTAAATAACTCATTTCAAAATTCAATACATAACTAAATATATTTTATACCGTATCAAATTAAATAATACTCTATAGTCGTACATACAACTAATTTTTCATCTCATAGGTCACTATCAACACAATATTTATTTTTATTTGTAATCAACATTAATTAAAAAACATAAAGAAGATAAATTATTATTTGTATATATTTTACATTTGCAATTATTAAATTTTTTATAAACTATTGTTTTCTAATTTCTTATATTTTATCACCAAATTATATTTTAATTTTTCTTTTGAATAATTTACTTTAAGATATTTAAATTTCATACAAAAAATTAATCTTTCGATCGTAGTTGTAGGGATCGAATCGTAATTCTCTCTATTAAATTTAGCATCAATCAGTACTGGACCAATTAATCATTGATAAAATCAAATTATTTAGATATCATAGATTGATACCCAAATAGTTTTTTCTTACAAAGATTACTTAAACAGCTAAATAGAACATTTCTTGTAAGTCTTGTTTAATCACGTCTTGTTTTGAAGAATGGATTGATTAAAAATAATCCCATCTTGCATGCTTTTGAGACCCAAGAATCGATGATTCGATATGTATGGTCATGCATCATACTTTTTGTTTTTAGCTTTCATCCAAGGGAATTTGGGTATCCAAAGCTATTTGTGGGAGGGGAGATGGTAGGTATCCAAAGTTATTTTGTGCATCCATATATCCTCTCAATCTTTTTGTTGTTAGTAAAATTATGAGGTGGATGGCAGCAGTTGAATGGCAGCAAACTAGGTCGTTTTGGCGTGCGTGGCTGTTGGATTGCATTAAGAATCAAGCCCCACCCATGTGCATCTTTGATTCAACTTCAAAAGTTATGATGTGAAACTCCACCGGTTGAAATTAATTAAGTAGTGTAATTGAATAGAATAAGTGTCTATTTGGTTATGAGAAGAAACAAAATGATTTTGAATTCACTGTCTAAGGAAACACACATAACTGTGTTTTTTATTTATAATTTCAAAAGGTTTGTATTTTTCACTATGTGACTAGGATTGTTAGATAGTACTAGTACACTTGACAAACACGGTGTCCGCGTCCATACTATTTAGTAACGCGCATTCATAGAATGATGAATTTTAAAAGTCTTTTGCATAACTTCTTTGTAATTAGTATGGAAGTGTTAACGTATTTTCCTTCCCCTAGTGTATGGTAACACCAACCCTCCTTAATTTAGTAGTCACTATTGGCTTCCGATCACTTAGAGACTTAGAGATAGAGATGTTTAAAAATATGACTAAATTGTATATTTAAATTGAATTGTATTTTATCATAAAAATTGAATTATTTAAATGGTTAATGAACTCAACTATTTTATTTAAATAATTTAAATTTCGTTTAAAATCGATTCATAGCCAGTTTTCTTTTATAAACTGGTTTAATTATATGAATTAGTTTCTCATAAAAAATTCTACAAATACAAAAAATCGATTTTTTTTATGAAAATATATAAAATCGAGTTTTTATGGAAATACATAAAATCAAATTTTTGAATGAAATATAGAACATTGAGTTTTTGTCAGAATTACAAAAATTGAGTTTTTGACGGAAATACATATGTAATCTGTGTTACGGAGCATAAGTGTTATTATTATGAAAGTTGATTTTTCGTATTTCCGTAACAACTAGATTTTATGTATTTTCATCAAAACTCGATTTTTTGTATTATCATCAAACACCCGATTTTATGTATTTCGTCAAAAACTTGATTTTCGGTATTTTTCGTCAAAATCTCGATTTTATGTATTTTCGATAAAAAGTATTTTTTGTATTTTTGTAAAAACTCGATTTTCTGTAATTCTGACAAAAACTCGATTTTCTGTATTATCGTCAAAAACTCAATTTTCTGTATTTTCGTCAAAAAAATCAATTTTCTATATTTCCAGCAAAAACACGATTTTATGTATTTCCATAAAAATTCGATTTCATGTATTCATGACAAAAACTCGACTTTCTGTATTTTCGTGAAAACTCATTTTTCTGTATTTTCGTAAAAAAAACTCGATTTTTTGTAATTTTGACAAAAAACATAATTTTCTGTATTTCCGTCAAAAACTTGATTTTCTATATTTTCATAAAAACTCGATTTTTTGTATTTCCGTAAAAAAGTTGATTTTCTGTATTTCTGTAAAAACTAGATTTTATGTATTTTCGTCAAAAACTCAATTTTTTTGTATTACTATCAAAAACTTGATTTTCCGTATTTTGTCAAAAATTCAATTTTCTGTATTTCCGTCAAAAACTCGATTTCTATATTTTCGTCAAATACTTGATTTTCTATAATTTCGACAAAAAAAATTGATTTTTTTGTAATTCTGACAAAAACTCGAATATATTTATTTCCATCAAAAAATCAATTTTCTGTATTTTTATAAAAACTCGAGTTTCTGTAATTTTGACAAAAACTCAATTTTTTGTATTTCCATCTAAACTCGATTTTCTGTATTTCTATTAATAACTAAATTTTTTGTATTCCCGATAAAAAAAACCAATTTTCTGTATTTCCGTCAAAAATTGATTTTCTGTATTTTAGATGAAAAGTCGACTTTCTGTATTTCCGCCAAAAACTCGATTTTATCTATTTTCGATAAAAAAAACGATTTTCTCTATTTCTGTCAAAAACTCGATTTTTTGTATTTTTGATAAAAAGTTGATTTTTTGTATTCCTGTCAAAAACTTGATTTTCTATATTTCCGTCAAAAACTAGATTTTCTGTATTTCAATAAAACCTCGATTTTCTGTATTTCCATAAAAAAGTTGATTTCTGTATTTCCGTAAAAACTAAATTTTTTTTGTATTTTCGTCAAAAACTCAATTTTCTATATTACCATAAAAAACTTAATTTTCTGTATTTCTGTCAAAAACTCATTTTTTTTGTATTTTCAGAAGAAAAAACTTGATTTTATGTATTTCCGTCAAATACTCAATTTTCTGTATTTTCGACAACTCGATTTTTTGTATTTCTGTCAAAAACTTGATTTTCTGTAATTCTGACAAACTTGATTTTATGTATTTCCATCAAAAACTCGATTTTTTATATTTTTATTAAAACTCAATTTTTTGTAATTCTGACAAAAACTCGATTTTCTGTATTTGCGTCAAAAACTCGATTTTCTATATTTCCGTCAAAAACTCAATTTTCTATATTTTCGTCAAATCTCAATTTTCTGTATTTTTGATAAAAAAGTTGATTTTCTCTATTTCTATCAAAAACTCGATTTTCTGTATTTTCGATAAAAAAATTATTTTTTTTTCCATCAAATACTCGATTTTTTGTATTTCCTTTAAAAAGTTAAATTTCTGTATTAGCGTCAAAAACTCTATTTTCTGTATTTCTGTTAAAAACTCGATTTTCCGTTGTAGACTAAAAGTCGTTTTTTTGTATTTCCTTCAAAAATTCGATTTACTATATTTTTCATAAAAAAAAATTGATTTTCCGTATTTCCGAAAAAAAATTGGTTTTCTTTATTTTCGTCAAAATTTTAAATAAATTGGTTTTCAAACAATTTTAATATAAAACTGTTATAATAATTAAGATATTATTATATTTGTAATAATATAAAACTCGATTTTTTATATTTCTAATAAAATACTCGATTTTATGTATTTCCGTCAAAAACTGATTTTCTGTATTTTCGATAAAAATCAACTTTCTGTATTTCCATCAAAAACTCGATTTTCTATATTTTCGTAAAAAAGTTGATTTTCCGTATTTCCGGCAAAAAATTGGTTTTCTTTATTTCCGTCAAAATTTTAAATAAATTGGTTTTCTTTATTTCCATCAAAATTTTAAATAAATTGGTTTTCAAACAATTTTAATATAAATCTGTTATAATAATTAAGATTATTATTATATTTGAAATATCTATCTTAATAGTCAAATTTAGAATAGTAATGAAAATTATTGCTGATGTATAATTTATCAAAGATAGAATAGTAATATCAATTATTCACTTAACATAATATTAATATTTCTACTAATATAAATATCCCATTTGGTAAATGTAAATGTACGCACAAAATTTTCTTTGAGTAAAAACAAGTTATACTCTTCCACATGTCCATCATATATCTCTCTTAAATTAGATATATCACATAGTGCTAATATAGTTCAATTAGGTTAAGTTTATAATATTATCATAGTTTAATTCAAATATTCGACTCTTCTCAACACATTATCGGCACGATCGTTTCTATCAGAAACTTTTACTACAGTAGGTATATATTCTATACTTATCTCTTTAATCTTATTATTATTGTTATTATTATTATTTTCCCGATTATAGAGAACTGGCAACTTGACAAGTGTTCTATAATAAGTGTGACTATTCTTATTATAAATTTTGTGTGGAGGTTTAAAACCCCATATGCAATTACTAACTTTTATATTTAATGGAAGTCAGAGACTCCATATGCAATTACTAACATTTATATTTATGCAATTACTAACTTTTATATTTAATGGAAGTCTGAGACTCCGTATGCAATTACTAACATTTATATTTATGTAATTAGTAACTTTTATATTTAATGGAAGTCTGAGACTCCATATGCAATTACTAACTTTTATATTTAGTGGCGGTTTAAAACTCCATATGTTGTTACTAATCTTTATATTTAGTGGAGGTTTAAAACCCCATTTACTGTTACTGCCTTTTATATTTAGTGGAGGTCTAAAACCCCATATGCATATACTATATTTTTATCATATGTGTTTATTTACCTTATATGTTATCTCATAATTATCTCTATCACTTATAATAGCTAGATGATATTTAACACACTTAAGTTTTGGCTAAATAACTTGTAACACACTTAACCTTTTTCTTTTTCTTTTTCCTTTTCCTCAACGGTAACTACAACAGACATTTTACAAAATCATCTCTATAAATACTTCAATTTCTTTCATAACTTTCACATCATTCTCAAAATATTCATCCATATTTTTTCAAATGGCTAAATTTCTTATTTTGGTCATCACTCTGCTCGTCATTATTTTGTTTCTTATGGGTATTATCAATCGTGAAGAATCAGATAATGATTTTGTAATTTTGATGATAATTATCGTCTTACCATTACTAGTCATAGTTTGGTTTATTAGTAGAGGTTTTTGAATTATTTGTAGTCATGAATTTTGCAATTGAATAAATTGATTTTTTTGTGTTTTTTGTTTTTCGTTTATGCATTAAATATTGATTATGTTCATCTGAATTATAGATATAATCATGTCAAATCTTAAGCATCAATTCAAAATTCTAAGCATAATTGGGGACAACTTCATAACTTGGAACAACAATCTAATTGAGTACCTTAGATATGATGAACTTAACAAAATACTTAAAGGAGACAATTCTGGAAAATCAGCAGACGACCCAGGTGAGATGGAAAAGATAAAACCAAAAGTGAATAGAATAATCAAGCACCATCTTGATGATAGATTGCAAATAGAATATTCAAATGTTAAAGATCCCAAGATTTTGTGGGACAAAATTAAAGCAAGATTAGGACATCAAAAAAAAAAAGTCTTGTTACCCTCATTAATAGATCAGTGGAACAAGTTAAGGTTCCAAGATTACAAAAGTGTCATTGCATATAACTCTGCTATGCACCAGATTATAGCACAACTGGAATTTTGTGGCACAATTATAATTGAAAAAGAAAAAATAGAAAAAAAAATTCAAATTTTCATGCATCCCAGGTATTATTGCAACAACAATACCGAATGAGGAAATTTACTGAATATTCTGATTTAGTTGTAGCCCTTCTAG